TGGCGTCACCACTAAGGAATGCTTCTCTCCCCTTCCTGAGAGCTGTAGAGGTGTTTGTCAGCAGGTTCCTGGGCTGCCCAGAGCCAAGGAGAAATTGCTCCTGTGCAAGAGCACCCAACACTGAAACCAAAGCCCTGGGCGTTCAATGTTAAGGATGTGTGTGGCACTTTTAGCAAAAAAAAGGGCCGGCTCCAATCTCACAATTCAAAAACGTCACTAAGAATCAGGAAAGAGGCTTAAGAAGAGCACAAATGATCCAATCTCTGAAAATGAGGCCCTATAAGAAAAGGTTTGAGAACATTTTCTGCAGAAGAGATGGTTGAGAAGGCTTGGCATCTTTCAAGCAAGAGTGAAGTGACTATGGATTTTCATTACCACAAATACGATTACAATTAAAAAGTCTATGCAGCAGTAGCATACTCAGCTGGCAAGCTGTTTGAGTATGGCCAACAACAAAGATTGTCCCCTGAAGAACACTCAAGTATGCAATATAGCATGCTGTTTAGAAGCACAACATCTGGGGCCAGAATTCCTCGATTTAAATCTGGACTCCACCACTTACCAGCTTGTACAAATCTATTGAGTCTAATGACTGATGCCCACCCCCCTTTGGAAACAAAGAACTAAGAACTGAGAACTAAATAGCATAACAGAAAGGGTGAAATGAAAAAACACGTACTCTCGTCATACAGCAAACTTAGCTTGTTGGCAACAGGCCCAAAAGGGCTACTTCCTTTATTAGTCTGAACTGTGAGTTATTAAGGGTAATCATTAATGCTATCCAATAAAAATGTGTGATTTTTTTTCCCCTAGGTACATGGTGGATAAGCACTTCCCTACTTCTCTTGAAGTTGGGAGTGGTTCTGGGACTTGCTTTGACCAATGAAACATGAGTGGAACAGCTAGTGTATAATCCATTCAGGTCCCTTTTTCTTGCCTTTGGCAATTGTGAAAACATAGAAATGAAGCCTCCCTAAGTAAAGATGACAGAACATAGTCCCTCAGGTGATCTACAATGGACACAGAACAAAAATGAAAAATATGTTATTTTAAATCATTAAAATCTTGTTTCTTGTTATCACAGCAGACCCTAGTCTATCCTGAATGATTCTGTATGATTGACACAGAAATTAGAACACTTAGGACTCTTGTCTTCTGTATCCATCAGATCATAGCTTTCTCTGTACCTCTCATCTGTAAGATAGAAACTGTCTTTGGGTGGACATGCACTGATTATTCCAAGCGGCTCAGATGAGTCCTACCTGCCAACAGGTGAGGAAGATTTACCTGTTAATACCCACAATGGCCTAAGAGAAGTCCCCATGGAGATGGGCCTTATAAATTTTTTTCTTCTCACAGAAAGAACCCAAGATTATTTGACTAAAATCTAAGCTTGCCACCACAGCCCAAAGAATGTTGGGTATCTGGAGAATACTTATGGGTGAACAGAAGAACTTGAGAATAACTAATAAAGAATGAGAAGTTTAGTAAGTTGTCTAAATCAGTGGTTTTCAAGCTTTTGCCTATATCAGAATCACCCAGGAAGCTTGTTAACAACCCAGATTAGTGGGCCCTGCCTCTGAATCAGCAGGTCTGGATAGGCCCAAGAACCTGTATCTTTATCAAGTAACCAAGAGACACCGGTTTAGAGACCACACTTTGAGAATCATTGCTTCAGAAGGATTAGCTTTAAGAAACCGGAGGCGAGGGCTTTGGTGAGGGGAATAAATGGGGTTATAACTCTCCAGGAGTTGGACTTAACAGATACTCTTTGGAGAAATAAAGGAAAGGCCCAGTTTTACCTTTTCCACCCAAGATACTCATCTGACAGTGCATGTACAAGAACACCAATGGTCATCACAGTCATTTATCCTCAACACATAACACCCTTTACATCAAAATTGAGTTTCTTTAAGGGAACAAAAGAGGAATGTCATTTATTTGCATATTTTTTTACCTTTATTTATTTTTATTTGGTGCTGAGGATCGAACCTAGGGTCTCTCACGTGCAAGGCGAGCGCTCTACTGCTGAGTCACAACCCCAGCCTCAATTTGAATATTTTCAAAACAGTTCCTGCAAGGGGAAATTATGCCTTAGCCTCCAGAGTTTCTCCAGGAGATATATCTGGATGTGTTTCAGGAAGGACCAATTTAGGTAATTGGCTACAGCCTTCCTCTTCATCTCTATCTTCACACTCCCCTTCATAAACCTCCACTACAAGTCATTCTTCTTGACTTCTGACCCCACCAAGGCTGGTCATACCTTGCATGGGTTGTTCAGGACCCACACACTAATCTCCCCACATCTAAACTGTCCCCTTCCTTCAGTTTAGGGCCAGACTTCTTTCATCTTTACCAAGGTCAATCAATCACCAAGTCCTGTCAATTTCAGCTCCCAAGTATCTCCAGAATCCACCCTGTGCTCTTAATTTCTCACTCTAGTTCAATTGGTGTAGACCTTCCATGCTGTACCCCATTTCTCTGTGGGTCTTTGCCCAAGTTGTTCATCTTGACAAAACAGGTTTCAATTTAAACTTCCCAGGACTGAGGGGCTTTCCACAAACCCTACAGCAGGTTAGAGTCTCCTTTGATCAATTCCCACAAAGCCCCATGTTTCCTTTTCCACAAATAATTAATCACATTTTTTATCTTGTCATTATCTATCTTCATAAGCTCCTTGCCAACAGGACCACATTTGTCTTGCTCCAGAGTCCAACACAGCCCCAACACAATTTAAGTTTATGAATAAGTGTGGAAATCTTCACATTTTTTTTTTCTTAACCCTTTGTCTCAATGCCTTAAGCACAACCTGCCTTTTACAAGGAATATCCGACTACCCAGTGCCACCCAATCCCTGAGATAATCAGATATACCCATGACATCCAGGAAATGGCCTCAGAAAGAAGGAACACCTTTTCCTTGGAAACTGGATGGAATTGAGATTAATTAGAGATATTCTGGCAGGGAAAAAAAAAAGCCTACCTACTACTCAGAAGTAGTGAAGAGATAGTTTTCTGTTAAGAATGAAGGGAAGAAGAAATGTTTGTGACAGAATTGTTTAGTGATGGAAGCCTATGCATCTCTGCACCAAGAGTTCTGATGGATTCTCCATTCAAACCTTATAAAGATGGGTGACTGTCTCACAAAGGGGACTGAATTCAAGGACCTCCTCTCTTCAGAATTCTTTACACAAACTCATTTGGGGCTGGAATTTGAGGAATTTACTCTCTCATTCAGAAGTTCTTTCTCCATGTAGGAGACAGACAAACTTTACCTTCTACTACTCTCTCAACTACAGGATGAGCATCCCTTATCCAAAATGCTTAGAATTCAAAGTGTTTCAGATTTCAGAGTGTTTCAGATTTAGGAATATCTACATGGACTTTACCAGTTGAGCATACCTAATTCAAAAATCCTAAAATCTGAAAAACTTTTAAAAATGTATTTCTTTTTAGTTACAGATTGACATAATACCTTTATTTTATTTCTTTTTATGTGGTGCTGAGGATCGAACCCAGTGCCTCACATGTGCTAGGCAAGCGCTCTACCACTGACCCATAACACCAGCTCCCTGAAAAACTTTTTGAGTGCCAATATAATTCTCAAATTTTTCGATTTTGGAACATTTCAGATAAAGGATGCACAACCTGTAGTATTAAAGTCAGAACCCCCCCACCCTGAGCCTGGCAGTCATGTCCCATGGACCACCATTACCAAAATAATTAACCAAGCAATCTCTGACAAAGTCAGAGGCTGGATTTTTGCCTGAAGAGAACACCACATAAAGACAGCAGAGACCTTAAAATCTAGCAATCCTTGGGTGGCATCTGGCTCTCTACTTCTAGCCATCTGACTTTGTACAAGTGACTTTTATTTTTTTGATTCCCGGTATCTTCACCTCTAAAGAGCAATGATGGTCAACCTCTCAGGATTTCTGTATTACATGAGATATGAATGTAAAGCCTCCAGCACAGAGTAAACATGCAAGAAAAGTCAGTGTCATCACAATTATAGATTTCTAATTTTAAAAGTTCTGTAGGATAATGAATCTAAACTGAAAATACTATAGAGATAAAATTACATGTTTTGAATTTACTTCAAAATAATCCAATGGGTGAAAGGGAGGGTATCGATGAAATAAAATTATGAGCACATTGGAGTTACTGCCTTCTCTCAACTTTTATATGTTTAAAATTTTCCATAATTAAAAAATTCAAAAACAGTTAAGTACTAAGGCAGGAAAATACTACAAAAATATAAATACTGATGGTTTATTTTAAGATCACATTTTATTTAAGTGACAGAACATAGGGAAAAATTTATTTAAAACTTAAAGCTAATATCCTTTTGCTTCTCAGAAATAAATATTTTTTTGAGATAGAATTGCCCCAGATGAGAAAGGAGCAGAACAACTTATGCACTTTTCTTGCCTTCATTTTTTGGGAAAACAATATGTGCTGCATGGGTTGTACATGTATTTTTAAGTAGACAATCCCCGGTGACAGAATCCACCTCTGAGCAACTAGCCAGACGTCAACTGAAACTGAGCTGTGGAGCAGGAAAGTTCCCATGTTAGGAACAGAGCAGACAGGATTCAAAATGTTCAGGGATGGTGGTATCACCAGCCTCCTCACTTGTAGACCCCAGCTTTGGATCTCATGAGGCTTACCTGTGAGGCTGACTCTCAGTGTGAGGTTATATTTATTCTCATACCAGATGAGTGGTCTAGTCAGAGCACAGCTAATATGTTAGATGATGCTTCAGGGGAAAGGGAATTTTTAAGAGGCTCTGACTGTACCAACCTCAGCATATCCCTATATCATCTCTCCTTTACCACATCATCCTCTGATAGAATTCTGGAGATTGAAAAATAAAATTCTTCCCACATTTCACATTGAATCAACAAACCCACTCCAATAGTCCAATAAGCTTTGTTCTAAGCAAATACCTTTAAGCCCCCAAACTGTGCCTGGATAAGAAGAATATATGAAAATACTTACTCTTCTTGAAGAATGAATTCACTATTTTCTGGAGAAAACTGCCCGGTCACAGGATGCCTGAATGCTGTGGTGTGCTGGTTATGGCTAGAGAGAGAGAGAGAGAGAGAGAGAGAGAGAGAGAGAGATGATGATGAATAGAAGTCATGTTAATGAAAGGATTACAAACACAACCAGTCAGTAACGTCTGGGGGACCCTTGGTCACCATCACTCCTCACAGAATGAGGGAAGTGGGCCTTTTCTCTGAGAGGCATTTAACCTCTCAAATGCAGTTACATTGGAAAATCAAGAATTTCCAATTCAGGTGCCAAAGCCCACCTTAATGACAAGGATTTTAATTCCAAGGAAGTCTTGACTTCAAGAGAAGATTGTGTATCTTGGAGACATTTCATGAAGTACTTACTCTAATACACTGAGGGGCTGAACAGCAAATTATTTTAAGATAGCATGAGCTAAAATAAGAATGAAGGGAAGTAGACGACACTTTCAACAGCTTATAACAACCATGAAGCAGGGAAAGAATTCTAAGAATTAACTTCCCGCCCAGAAAATTCTATCTCCTTAAAATTCTTCTCTCTACTACAAAATGTGTTCAGTTCAATGATGGGATAATAAACATTTGGGCATGTCTCTGCAACATGACCTGTGCAATTTCAACACTGGAGTTTCTATCACCCTTTTGAAGTTAGCAGGGATCAGCTTCCAAGCCAAGCTGACAGACACAACCAAAGTCTGTAGGTGTTTTGTATGTTGACAAAGGCCGCCTGGTTCTTTTAGGATGGAGCAGTGAGCTCTAGAGGCTGCTAGTTTGTTCCATGAATAAACTAAACTAACATCCTCTTTTATTTATTTAAATAAAAAAATTTAAAAATTTTTCCAATCACAAAATCAGTTATTTTTGAAATTTTATAAAGTATGAAAAGGAAAAAAAAAATCATCCATGATGTCCCCATCTGGAGATATAGCTGAGTATCTTCTTATGAGTTGTTTTTCTTTTTCTTTCTATTTAAAAAAATAGTGATATGTGTTTTCTCCCTTAATCTTATTAATGTAGAAAATATCCTATTTCATTAAAGCTTCTTTATTTGAAATGATTAAATAATAGTCTTACCATATGTATACATTTTTTTTATATAACTATTTAAAAAGTGTCACTGGGCACATGTATGCCAGGCAGTGCTATAGTTGGTACTAGGGACACAAAGGGAACAAAAAAGTCCCAACTCCTGGACATGATCATAGTCTTCTAATGCTGGACATTTGGGGTGCCTCCCCCACTGCTACTATAATCCATGCATCTTTGAGCATAGGCTTTTTATGAAACTCAAATTATTTTCTTGTGTTAAACTCCCAGAGATGAAATTATTGAACCGAAAGTCATAGTCACTTTTTAAACCTCTTAATACAGACAACCAAAATGCTTCTGTTAGGATATTATTGCCATCTCCAAATTGAGCCCTGAGCCTCCCTGGAGATTAGTATGTCTAAACCAGCACAAAAGTTAAAAAAGAAAAGTTCTTGAGACCTATAAAGTTTTCTTTACTTTGCCCAGTGCCTAGGATAAGCTGGGCACTGAGGATTAGAGCAGCCTGGATCCTAATGAGGCAAAAGTGAAGCAGGGCTGTTCCTGGCCCTCCCACCATGTGCCACCCCTACCACACCCTTACCCACCCATCCAACTACAGCTGGCCTCTCTTTCTGGGCTCCTACTCTCAAGTGAGCCTGTGGAATTCTATGACCTTATCTGGCAGGCAGCAGCCTGGTCTTTTCCTAAGAAAAGCAGCTTCCAGGGGTGAGCATCTGAGGTAAAGGATGAGAAGTAGGGTCCCTTTAACAACTGTTTCAGAAATCCCTGCATCATGTTCAAGGGGTAGGCTTTATTTGCATCTACTTTCTTCTAGAGTCATTTCTACTCACTGGGGAACTTGAAAATGCAAATTATAATCTAATCCTGCCTCATTTTGAGAGAGAGAGAGAGGGAGGGAGGGAGGGAGGGAAAATACGAGAACACCCTGGTTGTAATGGGAATAACAATAAAGCAGTGACACCAATATCCACTATTACCTCTAAAGGACTTTACAGTCTACAAAGCCTTCTCTTAACAGCTCAGTTGTTAACATCATGAACCCCTACCTTTATGAATGAGGAAACTGGGCTCAGAGAGGTTAAATGATTTGCACAAAAAGCTTTTGTTGGGCTGGGGGATGCAGTTCAGTTGTAGAACACTTGTCTAGCATGCACAAAGTCCTAGGTTCAATCCCCAGTATACAGCTAAATAAATAAATAACTCTGTCAATAACTGATAAAACTGGGACATAAATGCAGGTCCTCTAGTTTTTAATATCTTTTTTGCACGATAACTGGACATTTCCTTCCCTTAGGGATCTGTGCGGCTGGCAGCTTCCTGGATATGATCAGAAAGCCCTAAAGAAAAGACATGAGAAAAATAGCACCACTCACCACTATTCCCTGTTCTTATCTCCTGTTTTCCCCTTGGATCCAGTGCCAAAGTTTTGAGTGAAGACACTTGTGCAGCCCTCAGTAGCTATAAGATCAGTTGGTAAATCTCTAGTAGATGAGGACATGGAGCCAAGTTTTCTATGTGCCTGAAGCAGATCCATCCACTGGTAACCACCTTGTCATACACACTATCTAACCTTCAAAGCAATTCCTGGGTTCCCCATCCCCAATCTGTATCTGCTTAAATAAGCTCAGAGCTTGGGTAAATGAATACTGAGCTGCAAGGTCTAGGCACTAAATTGAATTTTGCATTCTAACATTAGAAGGAAAATAATTTTTAAAAGTTGACCAAAAGAAAATATCTGCCATCTGATCAAATCTAGAGGCAGCTCTTCAAACTTTCTTCCCTAATATGGAAGCTGCCCTCTGTGCTAAAACATTCCTGGCCACGGTACCATCACCACCCTTCTGCATTTACACCATGTTTTCAGCATGTTCACATTTGTCATCTTATTGGGTCCTGGCAACTACTCATTAAGGTAGGCAGGACAGATATTTTTATTCCCATGATACACATAAGAAAAACAAGGCTCTGGGTTATGGGACATTATTTGAACACTAAATTTTAAAAACGGGTGGAGGGGCGAAGTAATGACATAATGAGAAAATACGCGAGCCAACATAATGCTTCCTGAACACTGAGGTTTTAAAATTTGATTGTTTTTGATCAAGTACACCCAGCTTGCTAATGGAAGAGTTTCTGGATGAGCACTCTTTTGAGCAACAGAACAGGAGTCAGGTCCCTGGGTTATTCCACTCAATCTTCCCAAATACCTGGTAGGGCAGGTTATGTATCATCACCAGGCCACAAGTGAGGAAGGTGAGACCCACAATGGGTAGGCAGTTTGCCCACAGCCACAGTCTACTTCTGGGTTCTTTCCACATCACCCACTTCTGAACTCTTTCCACTCCTCCAGGCTCACCCTTTCCAAACGAAGGTTGCCCATTAAACTCATTTAGATTCTGCAAGTCCTCTAGCTTTACTTGCTTTCTCTGACCCATTGGTCCTAAAGCCCCCAGCCTGCTCCATTTTCTGATTCTAAAATCCATGAAGAGTCTCATATCTTATCACCCTGTCTTAAGCACTTAGCAGGTACAGACATATCCCCTGAAATACCCGTTCTTAAACCTGAATTGCCACCTTGCTCCCTGGTAATACAGAGATGACCAGGATGGGAGCCAGATGACTGGTTTCAAAGGAGCACAGAAACTCTTTCTCTCCTATACAAGTGCTTCTGTTTCTTCAGGCTACTGAGAAAGCAATTTGGAAAATGAGGTAAAACACAATGTAGTCTTCAATTTCAATTCCTGCTGTTCTAGAAATGGCCCCTCAAAGAAGCATGGCAGGCAATCTCACTGGAGAAGAACCAGGAAACACATATGAAGGTGGTGAGGAAGGCTGGTCTCCATGAAGGCAGGCCATGGGTAACCATCCAGGTAAATAAGCACGCCTTCACAGGCCTAAGGGCAGAGAAGGACTGGGTTAGGCCCTGCAGAAGCCTGGCAGCAACACAAGAGACGTGGTAACAAAATAAAGTGAGGACTAGGTAGAACTGGAATTTGAGCAACATAAGAACTCATCTACAGCCACAAACAAGGCTAGTCAGAATGTAAAGTCCCACAATTTCTTGCAATGTTTTTTCAAGACCAATTTTGTATTCACATAGATTTTGAGTCTAATGTGAACAGTGAGTCTGTTTGGTTAAACATGAAGGTTCCAATTATTTATTAAGATGTGTTTTTGGCGTGGAAGGAATTTCTGGAGTTGTGTGAATGATGTCCAACAGTGGCAGTCAGAGAACCCTGATAAGTCTGATTTTCTGACAGTAGTGGTATTCGCATGCTAGTGGGATGAGTCTGCTCTGTCAATACTAGCTCTTCTCTGGCCCAGACTCTAAAGGGAGAAAAACAGCTTAAAATATAAGAGCAGGACTCTATTCAGGATCTTCTCATTAACATGCTCAGCAAAACTTACCTCTGGAACCTTCTCCTCAATGTGGCTCCCTGAACACTTAAAAAGAGTCACCTCGCAGGTTAAAGCCACATTCAGCACTGCCTCTAGGTGTGTAAGGCAAATATTTACAATCTTTGTTCTAAATCCAAGTGTCTCAATAAATCTGAGAATTCTGCATAACCTAATAATATTCCAAGTTTGGGCTGAAAACTAGAAATTGAAACTTCAAGAACACAAGAAACTGTCTCTTCCTTTTCTTCAGCTAATTTAGGCCCCTCAATAATGACGTAGCACCAGATGCGGTGGTGCACACCTGAAACCACAGTAGCTTGAGAGACTGAAGCAGGAGGACCACAAGTTTAAGGCCAGCCTTGCTAAGTGAGACCTGTCTCAAAAAATAAAAACAGTTGGAGATGTAGCTCAGGGGTAAAGTCGCCTAGGTTCAATCTCCAGTACCAAAAAAGATTAAAAAAAAAAAAAAAAAGTAGCAATCAACAGTTGAAATGGCATTGCCACACTCACTCAACATTTCTTAAGCTCCTTTTGGTTTATTTTATTTAACGCTTTTACAAAATAGCTTGTTTAGTACAGTGTCACCATGGTTAATGTGGC